GGCTAGACTATGATAATCTTTTTGGTTTCAGTTCCTCACTGAAGTCCTTTGAGACTTATCTTTGGTATTTAAGGGTACAGTTTGACAGCTGACTCTCCTTGCTGGCTTAAAAGCAGTTCCTATCCTTTCAGCTATACAGCAACCTGACAATAAAACAGGGAGTCAAGGGTGTCAAATCTGATTTAGATTACTGTGCGGCCTGACCACGCTTGTTACCAGTTGTGCTGGCATACCATGGGGTAAGGTGGAAAGGCTATACTGCTTATTGTGGCATTACTGCTAAGAAACTATGCAAAGTTTTCCCAAAAGTGCAGTCTTAAGAGCATTTTGTTGGCAGCTGTATTTGCTTAAATAGCCTTTCCTGCCCTGAAGTGCTGATATATTTGATTAACATACACAGTGAAGCAAATAAAGGAATTGATCCAAACCTAAGTTTAGAAAGTGGTTATCAGTGCAGATCCCAACTTTGGACTGCTGCAAATACTTAATGGGTGTAGAGGGTAGGAATAGGAATAAACAGGAACTGACAGAGCTATAATGAAAGGAAAAAGTCATGAATGCTGGAGAATACCAGTTTGTCCAGGTAGCTTAAGCGGAAGCAGTGATCTTAATGTTGATCATCTGAGCTTTTGGTGGGAGAGTACTGCCGGATTACTTTGAGCAAGTGTGAAACGTAGTTTTTTCTATCCATGTTAACCACCCCATTTAATGTAACCGCGTTAAAAATGCATAAGTCCATACTCATATCAATTTGAAATATTTATATATATATATAATTTTCAGATGCTTCAGGGGCAAAAAGCACAGAATTTCCAAGGTCCTATCTAAGTAGCTAATTATGCTGAAGTAGCATGAGACTTTATGCTCCTGCTGCAGTTCCTATCTTAAAATGACATTAGAAGAGTTGTTTTTGAGCTGCTGCATCTGCAGTGCAGCAAGGAAGGCTAGAGGTGAAAGGACAGAAAATCTGTTACAGAAAAGAGTCTGGAAAAAATGCAGATATAGATGACCAAAGTTATGTGAACTGAAACATAATCAATAGACAATTGTTGAGCTATGTAGGGGTTGGATTGTAAAAGATTGCTCATAAAAGTCTATTATCTATATAGTATATGGGAAAGCCTATAAAGATGTCTTTATGCTGAAACAGAGGTAAGAAAATGGTATATTGCTGTTCTGCCTTCTAAAACAGGACCAAAGAATTCTATCGGAAGGCTGAAGCTAGTGTACAACTTATTGAAGTCGCCTTGGTGTGACATATTTTTCTGCTCTTAGGCATCTCTACTTTTGTATGGGGAAAGCATTTAAGGAGGTCTAATCAGATTAGTCATGTGAGGCTTTGTATGTGCTGTCTCCTTTAAAGTGGGGCTTCATTGCTGCAAATGCTGATGTTTTAAATACTGAGTGCTGCAATACAACAAAGTCCAGGAGTTGGTTTAAACTATTCATGAATAAAAAAAAAAACTCTGTTTAGTACATATGCTTGTTTCTTCTCTAAATGAAATCTGGGAAGATTTTATTAACTGAAGGTGTCATGTGCAAAGTTGAAGTATTTGCACCTAACCTTGAAGTCAGCTGATGTTTTATTAATTGCATGCATCTACTTTTTACTTCTCTAATTTTTGGTCTTAATAGTGTTAAATAACACTTTCTTTAACAGTGAACTACCTCTTATGAAACAAAGAAATGGATGGGATGGATGAAACTTCTAAAAGAATCCTAGAGCCATACCAGTACTTACTTCAACTGCCAGGCAAGTTTCTTTGTACTGTATTGTTCTTAAATATCAAAAGCGTTTTCATAGCAAGTATAAGCCAAGAAGTTTATCCATTCTTGGTTTGTGAAGAGTAATTAAAAGTAACACTTTTCAGTATTTGTTCTTTTCTTCCTCTTGTAGAACCACACTTTTTGAGATTGTTACAATAGCTCTTGAGTCTGCAGCATAAGTAGTTTTTTAGCTACTCTGTTCTCTCTTCAGAGTAGCTGACTTGCTACTTTTTACAACTACGAAGAGCAAATACTGAAGAGTTGAGCCCATTCTTAAATAGCAGAACATCAGCCTGAATTTATCAGCTTCCTGTACTGGACCCAGTGGGTTGTGTTTATTTTTGTTGAAAGTGTGTATTTCTTTTGTGTAATTTGTTCTGCTGGTATGTGTAGGGCCAGGTATTCTTTCAGCAAATTTCAGCTGTCCCTGGATGGTGTCACTTGCCAGAGAATCAGCCAGTCCTTGTGTAGTATCAGGTCACTAGAAACACATTTAGATTATTTTTTCAGTCTTGAATGGTGCATATTTTAGCATAATTCAGGACACAGTTTGATGAAGAACTACTGTACGGATATGCATGTCAGAAGCCTCTTTGAAAAGTCAGATTGCTTGTTGTGGCTTTTACTTGTGCACCTAAAGTGTAAGGGAGACCATATAATCTGTCAAAGTGACTAACTTTGTAAAAATAGTAGTGGAACTACTTTTGAACTGGGACTATTTCATCACTGTCTGCTGTCCAGCTTTTATTGCATACTGGTAGAGTTAAGGAAGCTCCAAAATATGGTAAATATTAAGGAAAATAATTCTGACCAGCTTTTAGTCTTGTAAACAAAGTGCAATGAACAGGATTAATTTTCACAAATTCCAGTGTGGTTTGTCTCAAAGTGGCCTGATTCACGCATGTGATAAATCTTTTATCTTGGAGTGGCTAAGTTAACACCAGTAACTGTTTTTGCAGCATTAAGGAGTACATGAAATTTCAGCTGCAGTAAAGCTGATGTGATCAACAGCTTTCTTTTGAAAGGGGTAGGCTCTGATCCTATTCATAACTGTACATCTTCCTTTTCATGTCCCTCTGGTCTTGGCTGCAGTCTTTCATAGGCTTTTTCAGCAGGCTAAACAATAAAGACTGGCTTCTGGTTTTAGCTTTTTCTCTGGGCTGTTGAACTTGACCAGCTTGGTGAAGGAGTTAAGCACCAGAAGGCATGATCTCTGCCACTAGCACAGCTACGCTTGGCACATCAGAGGCTTCAACTTGGGCAAATTTCCTGAGGGAGACTCTATGTCTAGAGTATCTGAGCTGCAGAGATGCCCGAGGGAGCCCACTGAGACAGAAGAAAGTGATATCCCTGCACCTGAAAGGTGTGTGCAGTGGTGGAAAATGTGTCACAAAGCAAAGGAGCAGTGGAAGAGGGTCAGCAGGCTGCACAGCATCAGAAATAACAAAAAGAGCAAGATCTTGCAGGTTCAAGAGCCTGAAACATCCAGGTATATTGAAGGAGGGGCAAGAACAGTCTATGCATGTCACAATGGGAAATGGAGACTCCCACAATGGTAAAGACTCGGAGCTGATGGCTTCTGGCACTAGGAGAAAGATTCCTGTTCCTCGAGCAGATGTGCAATTGCCAAATAGGTTTAATGCACTGAAGGAAGACACAAAGCTGGGAGCTTTATGCACAACAAAGCATCAGACCAGCACCTGGGCAGCAGCAAGTGATACTAGTGGGGAGACTGACTCCTGCAGGGAACAGAGCTTCTGTCTTAGGGAGATTTGCTGTTTCTGGATAGCTCTGATCAGGGATGCTATAAGGGAACTGCCAAGGTGTGTTTCACCCTTAGACAACTTAACTCTGCAGTTCTTCCACTTGAGCACTAATGGATATAGCAAGAGGATGTCTGCAGCTTATCAGGCATCACTATGTGGCTTTTGGAATGAGGGCCAAGTGCACAGGAAGCCAGGTGGCTTTTCTCCATTACCCTCAACCCTGTTCCCCTCACCATTAAGAGGAACAAACAGATCCTGCATATCGACAAGTGGTTAGTTGGGTTTTATGATCATGGGACTCCGTTTGTAGGTCAAAGACTACTAGGAGGAGACAGTATCCACCTACCAGAGTCGGGGCAAAAGTCTCTGCAAACAGGCTGAACAACCTGGTGAGAAAGGGCTTAAACTAAAAATTACAGTATAGGGGAATGACTACACACAGTCAAGTAAAAAAAATGGTGAACTTCCAAACAAAATGGTGTAGGCTGATGGGGACAAAAGCGATGTCTTGTAATCAACAGTGCAGAGCTGAAGGCTCTCTTAGGTGTATGTATTCAAACAAGGAAGTATGAACAGGACAACATTATGGGAGAAGCTCTCACTTTTTTTTCCAGGGCCTGTGCAGGACTGAGTGCTTCTCTGATGTGCCTGTACACAAATGCATGGGGAATAAACAGGAGGAGTTAGAGGTCTGCATGCAGTTACAGGGCTGCAGTTTTATTGGGGTATCTGATGCGCGATATTTTGCACAGCTGGAGTGCTGCAATGGATGTTGACTGCCTAGTAAAACAATCTGGAGTAAAGAGGGGTGGGAACTGCTTTTTATGTGAAAGGGCAGCTGAACTGCATGGAGCTCTGCCTTCAGGTGATAAGCCTGTTGACAGCTTGTGGTTTAAGATTAGAGGGCAGATCAATAGGATGACACTATAGTGAGTCTTTGCTACAGACTACCTGAGCAGGAAGAAGTAGATGAGGCCTTCAGACAACTGGAGGAGTCCTCATATTTAGTGGCACTGGTCCTCATAAGAGACTTTAGCTTAGACTCAGTATCTTGTAGAAGCAGCAACCAGCAAAGTACAGGCAATCCATGAGGATTCTGGAATGCATCAATGACCGCTGCTGACACAGATGATCAAGGAGCTGATGAAGGAAGGTTTTTTTGTGGGATCTCACACTTAAAAAACAAGAAAGAATTGGTTAGGACTTGAAGACTGGAGGCAAGCTTAGCTGTAGTGACCATGGGATGGTGGCATTCTGGATCCTGAGGAGAAGGAACGAGGCAAAAATCAGGATCACGACCCTGGACTTGTTAACCCTATTTTGAATAGGGGAGTTAAGCTAGACAATTCTGCAGTGACCTTAAATCTGTCACAAGTGGCTGCCCAGGTTTAGAAGTGTATATGCTTGCTCTCTTTGCTTGTCTTTCTGCAGTTCATTTATGCTGGCTGTTGGGGAATTTATCCATTTAGCCTTAATCCATCAGAGGACAGAGGTAAATGTGGAAGTGTACTAGACAGCTAAGGTAATAGTTTGCTTTCTCTAGAAGGGCAGTGCCCCCTTCCTCTGTCTCAGCATCTGCTGCTTACCCTGTACTAACTTTGGCAGATCCATTTCATAAGCTGACTCAGTATCTAAAGCTGGCAGAAAGCTAACCTAGCAAAAAAGAGTTTTCTGCTAGTGTAGTAAGTTGAATTAGCTTGGTGAGGCTCTAATGAGAGCTAGGTTAATAGTCCCTCTGCTCTTTCCCAAGCTGTTCTAGCCCTTTTATGTACCCTCACTATTAAGTGGGGTGCTGCCCTAACAGCATAATTTGTGGTTACTTCACTGCAGCAGGAGTGAAGTACTGATCAGGAGAATGTTAGAGCTGGAAGTCTGTGGGTTTTGGATATGTACCCTGTCACAAGAACAACTGTGCATGTAGAGAGTAAGTCAGGCTGATTTTTCATTTTTATAGAAGCATCTCATCTATCTGAAGAGTTGGGAGGGATTATCCGCAGTACATCTTTTTTAGCTCGCCTTTTCCACCCAGCATTTCTAGTGGGAAAATCTTTCTGTAGTTACTGTTTGATTTGGGTAATATTGGGATCTTAAACAGATTAAACAAAATACATTTAGTATAACTGTAATGAAAGCTTGTTGCAGATATGTCTATTATTGCAGTTCTATACAATAGGTAGAGTGTCTAATTTTAGAAGTTAGACCTCTATATTCTTCAGTTTCACAATAGCCTCCCTAAAATAATTAACAGAGCATGACACATAACACTAAAGAATTGGCATAATTCTGCCAGTGTTAAGTTTTACTCCTTTTAATTTTGTCCATTTTGTCCTAGTGTCCTTGTATTGTTGCCCTGTCTAGTGTGGGGAGAGGAAAGGTGTGGCAAGGAACAGAGGCTTCTGCATTTAGGCTTTTGAGACCAGAAACCAATACCATTCTATGAAATAAGAAGCACCTTTGATTATTCTTTTCTGATGGAAACCAGAAGATGGTGTTGACAGGAAGCAGTGGAAGTGTTTGAGGATTGAGGCAAAAATTGAAGCCCTCTGAGCCAGGGAGTAAGCCCAAACCACAAAGCTATTGCTTACCTGGTGGTGACTTAATTAGAAAAAGAAATATCCTCAGTCCAATTTCTCTATGGTGTATCACTGCAAGTGAATCTTTACCCCTTTTTATTATTCTGTTTTGTATGTGCTGGTCACACAGCAGTAGAGAAGCCTTAGGGAGAGATTCAGCTGTTCAAATTTCTTTAGCGCTATGGGCAAGATGGCATCATCAACATGAGGACTAATATTGCAGAATCCTTAAGCTGTGTCTCAGTAGATCTTGAGTAATATGGAACCCACTGTCTAGGTTCACTGCATTGGAATTTAAAGCTTTTATTCCAGATGCCTTGTTGATGTGAGCTACATATGTAGAGCTGTTTGTCTTGTAGTTATTTGAAGATCTTACTCATAGCTAAGTTTCCCAAAGTTCAGAGCAGCATTGTTTCAGTGTAGGTAGGGAGTGACTTTATTTCATATTGATCATCAGTATGTGACTCCTAACGATTTATTAAAGAAAGATGATATCAATGGGTTAACTTCTATTAAAATTTTATGTAAAATGTATCTGGATTAAACAGTAATGCTTGTTTTAACAGTGAACTTGGAGTTTTGATCTTTCATTCCTATGAAACAGGGTGACTGCTTGGCTCCACCAAACTAGGTTTAGCCAAAGCAGAACAAATCCTATTATTTTTAAGTAGACTTCTTGGGTGTAAGATAAATGTGAATTATTGGAAAGTTCTGTTCAGAATGTTCTGTTCAGATTTTTTTTTTAGAGTTACTAAATATATCAAGTATCACTTGTGTTTTACAAATTGTCAGTAGCAAGTAAAGAGTACTACAGGAGAAAGACCTAAAAATGGAAACGAATAGATTTTCAACAAACAGCCATATCTTCAACTAATAATGAGTCATAACTGAAACTTTTTAATCTGTTACATACACAAAATCAACATGCCTAGCAAACTAGGGTTTACTTTCAGAAGTATAAATTGATCTGTACATGTTACCAACATAGTCAGGATCACTTGCCAGTTAAACTGACAAAACTAAATATAGTAACTGTAAATGTGTGCTTCTCATATTACTGTGAAATGTTTAAAACTGATATAATTGATGCATATACAATGAGGTAACAAGATAACCCACTAGGATGTGTTTTCTGCTTTCAGGTGACCACACTGATCGGTTTACTGATCTCAAATCAGCTGTAGTTAAGACAAACTGTTGTCCCTAATAATAACCTTTATGTGCTTTTTATAAATGCCTGTAATATTTTTATTGCAGGTAAGCAAGTGAGAACCAAACTGTCACAGGCCTTTAATCACTGGCTGAATGTTCCAGAAGATAAAATACAGGTACTGGCTAATTACTTTAAAGGGCTATTAATCTTTCTTCCAAGACTCCTGATAACAGATGATTCTCTTACAAAGCATAAATGATCAGTAGTCTTAAATGTACTAATTTCTGAATACATTGAAGTAAGCTTTCAGGAAGACAACTTTAGTGCAAAGCTTTGACTGTGACGTAACACTAAAAAAAGTTACTTCCATGGCTTGTCCAATGTAGGATAGTTACTTAGTTCCAAGTGTACTCAACCTGTTAAGTTGTAGATAAGCAGCTACCATTGTTACCCACTTAATTATTAACAATGAGTTTTTAAAGACGTATGGAAGAAGCTAGACAGTTACCTTGTAAACTACACAAATAATAGTGGTTGAAAAAATCTTACGGTTTTGATACAAAAATATCAAAGACAGAAATGAACTTTATAAAGCACTATTTATTTTGGACCTGAAACTGTGGACTTCTTATTCAGTCCAGAGTCCTTACTCTTTAATGAGAAGCTTTAAACTAGGATTTCTTCTTCGCTTTTGCTTTTCTTTTGGACAGAGCTATGTAAGATGCATGGCTGCATATTTATACACTGTGGCTTGTCAAATGAAAACTTATCTTGGTTAGACTACAGTTTTGCTAAACTGCATTTAGACAGTGCAAAATATTCTGCATCCAAGACAATGTAAAGCATTAAAATAACCAATTGTGGGTTTTGACACTTATCAAGCTGGTCCTTAGTTAGTTTCATTAATTCTTCACAGAAGTACCTTTGGAGTTTGTGAAGGAGTCTTCTTCCATATGGCTTAACAGTGATACTTAGTAGTCCTCAAATATCAAAATGGTCAAAGTGATATAAACAATGGAAGATGCTGCATTCATCATCTTGTAACTCTTCTGTATTCTGACCTGTCTCTCTAATTTTTAGACAGATTTAGTCTGGCTTCCAGCTAGACACACATCTTACACTATGCTCAGCTATACATTCAAATAAAATGTATTATATAGCAACCTATGTATTGTATGCATAGGTTTAGTCTAATATGGTAGATCAGAATTCAAACTGGAAGAAGCCTCTGGAAGCTATCTAGGGCAACCCCCTGTGTAAAGCGGGTCTTGCTCCCTAGCTCCTTAAGGTTTTTGTGATCCTTGCTGAGTTTTGAAAATGTGAGGATGTAGATTCTGCAGCCTCAGGGCCTATCTTCCCATGACAACAAACTTTTTCATTCTGTCCAACTGGGATTCCTTATGTTGCAGTCTGGCTGTTGTCTCTTTCTTTGGCTGAGCACCCATGACATGGATCCATCTTCTTTCATGTGCTATAGTTAACTGAAGCAGCAGTGCCTCTGTATGAACAGAAGTTGCCAGTTCTACCTGTCACATTTAAACTGACAAACATATAAGCATTATTGAAAACTTGGACCACTTGTTCTGGTTATCTTTATGAAGAAAACTGATGTTTTAATATTTCCTTTACCACATAAGCTGTTTGTGAGGGAACTTGATATTTTCATTATTTGGGTCATTTGAGGACAAAAACAAGACCGTGTCATCTTCAGCCTGCAATTACTACTGCTTTTGTGCATACTTGTACCAATTTTAATAACTTAAGGTTATTGAAGTCTGAAGGACCACCTCTAGTCATCTTTTTGCCATGTCTCATAATCTTGCTAAGATGTCTCAGGTGTCTAGCAGCCTGATTCCTTTCCAGCTGTTTGTATTTCTTTTATTAAAAATCTGAATTCTGGCACTTGTTATTGGATGTTTGTTTTTTTTTTTCCACCTTGGATCATTTGTCTACATGTAGTTTTAGATGATACAGTTGAGGCTACTGTTCCTTGGTAGTTGATTTTACTATTGGCTGCCACCATCTCACACTTTTCCCAGGCAAATGGTCTCTTCCCCCTCACTCTGCACTGAGACACTTCATCTTGCTGAATTAGAAAACACTGGGTTTGTCAGATGAGCTTTCTTCTAAAAAGGCACTGAAATAGCCTAGTACGGGGCCAAGCAAATTTTAAACCTATTGCAAGAAGGGAGATAGAAATCTGTGTGTCAGAGTGATAGTGCAGCAGCTACTGATTGGATAGGCTTAGGTTATAAGAAGGCATAACACTCCGTGCTTGCTCTTCAGCTTTCATTATGAAGAGCAGTCTTTTCATTTCCTCTGGCCACTTCCTCATGTCTTCTAAAATAAGCTTGCTTTTTTTTTTTTTTTGGCTGTCTGAACTTTTTTGGTTCTTACTTTCAACTCTGAAGCATTTTTGACATTGTCTTTTAAGTTCACAATATAACTTAATTCAAGCACTCAGTAACGAAGCACTGTTTCAATTAAACCTTAAATATCTAGAAGCTGCAAAAGTTCATCAAACTGACAGTGTGGTGAGATAGGTTAGTAAGAGAAATTCTGGAATAGGCTTATCTGAGGAACTTGCAGAAAACAGGGAGACTTCCCTGATACTACTGAGAATGACATAATGGACAAAAAGAATATCCAGACAGGTATGCAAAGTTGCTTTCAGTAAGTACTCTGTCCTCTGATTTAAAGTCAGTGGGCTGCAACATAACTTCACAGGTCAAAGTGGGGCTTACTTCTAACTGGTAGAATAGTCATTAGTGTTCCTTGAGTAGGTTGTTCTTGCATCTATATCTGGGACAAACAGTTGGATTTCTGGGGTTTGGGTTTTAGTCTTTGGGACACTGGTCACTGAATACTAGGTGGCTTGCTGCTCAAGAAGATGCTTGCAGTGAAGTCCTTCCTACAACATCCATCAAATAGGACCATACTAGGTACTTGCCACTATTTAATGGTGGCCTTAGTATTTTTTAGAAGCAGGGTTTTTTGATGAATATTGACCGAGGGCAGTGTTTATAGCTAGTAAGTGCAATTGGTTCATTAGCTTTAAAACACATATCTTAATGTGTTTTGCAGTAGGTTTATACAGCATGCAGTTTTATGTGCTTAAATTTATTGCCATGTAAGCAGGTGCTGCATACAGCTGTTATCTGTATAGCAGCTGTGCAATAAAAACTGTATGTAGTAAATAATAAATAGATAACAAGTGTTAGTTAAAAGTTAAAAAACTTAATTTTTTTAGTTTAATTGTCCTGTTTTGGAATTAAGGTTCACTTTTAGTCAAATGTAGTCAGCTACAAGCTTGATGTTTTGATCAGTTTGTGTACCTCAGGTGATACATGATATTGGTCCACTTAGTAACAAGCAGTAAAGTGTTAGGAAGCTTCCCAAAAAGCTGTAGCTGTCATTTTTCTGTCAAGAATTTTCCAAATGATGTTCCAGAGAGAACAGTCTGCCTTTTAAGAACTCGGTACTGAAGTTAACTATACAAAGTGTGGGGAAAGAAAGGTGAACTCTCTCCATTTATGAAAACAAGGTTTACAAGACAAATATGAATGATACCCAACACTTGTAAGAACTGACCTTGGAGGTCTCAAGTTAGTGCATCTACACTTGTCACAACATTGTGTTGCTTTTCCTCGATTCATGTTTCCAGTAATAGTTACTGCATTGACTCCTAGACAATGGCATATTTTAGAACTGTAGCAACAATGAAGAGGAGCATTCAAGTGGAAACTTTTCAGCAAGTAAGTTCACAACATTACACAAAAGACCACAAGATCCAGGACTTAGAGCAAACTGGCTCATAAATCTGTATTTCTGGTAGAAGCAAGTAGACTAAAGGGGAACCTCACTGATAGAGAATACCATTCTTTAAAACCTTGTCCATTTTAAAAATGGTTTTGCAAAACTGGACATTAAATTACAGTGGGAGACTTAGTAATTTTCTCTTCTTGTAACAGGTTATCATTGAAGTGACAGAGATGCTGCACAATGCAAGCCTACTTGTGGATGATATTGAAGATAACTCAAAGCTGAGACGGGGCTTTCCGGTGGCACACAGTATCTATGGAATTCCATCTGTAATCAACTGTGCTAATTATGTGTATTTCCTTGGCTTAGAGAAGGTTTTAACCCTTGATCATCCAGATGCTGTTAAAGTTTTTACCCGTCAACTTTTGGAACTCCATAAAGGTCAAGGCTTGGATATTTACTGGAGGGATACTTACACCTGTCCTACAGAAGCTGAATATAAAGCTATGGTACTGCAAAAGACAGGTGGTCTCTTTGGATTAGCTGTAGGCCTCATGCAGCTGTTCTCAAATTATAAGAAAGACTTAAAGCCACTTCTTAACACACTTGGCCTCTTCTTCCAAATAAGAGATGACTATGCCAACTTGCACTCCAAAGAATATAGTGAAAACAAGAGTTTTTGTGAAGACTTAACTGAGGGCAAGTTCTCATTCCCAACCATTCATGCCATTTGGTCAAGACCTGAAAGTACTCAGGTGCAAAACATTTTACGGCAAAGAACAGAGAACATAGATATAAAAAAGTACTGTGTACATTACCTTGAAAATGTGGGTTCCTTTGAGTACACTCGGAATACATTGAAAGAGCTTGAATCTGAAGCCTATAAACAAATAGAATCACTTGGGGGGAACCCTGAGCTCGTAGCACTAGTTGAACAGCTGAGCAAAATGTTCAAAGAATCTGAAAATTAAAATACTTCTGGGGGTGGATCAGAACTTTTAAAAAGGGAAAATAACCAGACTGTGAGAGGTGTGATATAATCAGTCTTGTTTAAAACCCTCATGTAGCCACATTACAGAAATTACTGTTAAAAGCAATTTGTCACTGAGTATTGAAATAGTTACCCTATTATCTATACAGTCTTAACTGTAACTGCTTGCAGATGGCTTTTTTTAAAGTGGGTGTACTAGAATTGAAACAAGTTTTGACTCTAAATGTAATCATCTTTATGCAATTGTTGGCATTGTTTCAGGCCTAAAACTCTCATATCTTTAACCAGGCTACTATAGGTTTCTGGCTGAAATTGTGTTAAATCAGAATTTACTGAATGTATTGTGCATTTTCAAACAATGGTCTAGTAAAACAAAATATTTGATGCTAAATAACAAGTTATTTTCAACCACAATGCACATAAAACTGTTGTGTGGTATTTCCAAGTTAGGCTTGTGTAGATCAGATGGATCAGCTTATGAAGCGAATAGCCTGTCTAGCCTCTGGGGATATTTTCAGGGGAGTGTGAATTACAAAAGATAGTATTTTATATGCAAATAAGACTAATGTTTAGTCTGAATATGTAGCTTTATAAAATTGTCCAAGTACATTAAAGCAAAGATTCCATCACATCAGCAAAGCATAAATTTGCTGCTCATTCCAGCTCTGCAGTGAATAATTTTATTTGCCTGGTTTTAGATTTCTAAACTGTCAAGTATTTTGTAGCTAGGAACTCAAATCTATGCAGTAGAGTTCATATATGTAACTGTAAATAGCAACATCATAAGTTGCTACTAGAAATGGAATGGGATTCACTCTAGGTCACTTCAGAACACCGTAATAGGTGTAGGTCTTGTTAATCTCTGCTTATAATTGAGAAGGGATTCTCCAGGAGGTAATTCATTAATGTCCTGAATTACTATTTAGAGGCATGGTACAGATCTCTCCAAAGAGACAAGTACTGTAATTTTTTGCTAAAACGAAGTACAGTATCTTGTTCTACATGCTGTAATACCACTTCAGTTTTGTTAATGGCTTCAACGGTACTTTAAAATTACATACAGATACAGCAAAATGGAACTGGAACTGAGCAAGGTTGAGGGGGAAAGGCCGATAAATGACAAAACCCTCTGCTTATCTATAGATAAATACATACATATAAAGGTGAACAAAATTTAAGCAGAGATGTTTGTTTCTTCTTGGCTGGGCTGGCTTTAATTGGGTTCAGTTCCTTTAGTCTTCACAGCCACATAAAGCTTGCTTTGGTGTAGGGAGGTAATGGTTTGGATGAAATGTAGGACTGGTGCTGTCATTGGTGGTGTTGGCTCAAGCATATTCTCAAAAGAAATGGCCAGAGGTGCTTGGCTTCTGACAACTAAAGGATAGTTTTACACAGGTGTTCATTTACTGTTCTGGAAAGCAGGGAGAGTTATAGTTTCAACCCGCTGAGAAGACTAACTGTAGAAGGTTGCTGTAATGTCTTCCCTGGGCAGCCTTAAGCTGCTTCTGAAAGTGATCAAGCATGAAAAAATTCAGGATGACTGCTTTTAGTCAGAGACATTATGTAGTTATGGATGATAGCCTATCCCTTTTATCTGCATGCTGAGGAGGAATCTTTGCTCTGTGATTAGGCACAGAATAATAAATAGCCTTTTCACTCCAAGGACCTAGTTGCCAGGACTGAATGGCTGAAAGTTGATGAAAGGTGTCTTTAGTGTTAATGTCAGTGAATTGTAATTCCTTTTTCATGACTTGCAGTGCTCAGTAGTAAGTCTGTAAATCTGTTTTATGAGAAAATACTATCTGCAGCAAAGTATGTTTATGTTGTGCCATGTCTTGGGAGTTTCTAGGCACCTGCAGTTCTCCTTGAATGGGGGAAAGCACCGGAAACACTACTGCTGTCAGAGAATCTCCTAGTCTTACTGTAAAAGATAGCCTTGTGCCTCTTGGGATATTATAACTGGCAATGTGAAGTGTGCTTAGTGCCATTTCATGCCTGCTTAGTTGCTGGATGTAAACAATTATGCGTAATCAAGCTTTCCCAATGAGGTAGCTTTTCTTATTTTTGTATAAAACTTCTCTACCATCTGAGACTTCTGCTGTGTGGTTGCTTTGGTTCATTCTGGCAGCTCATCCCAGTATTTATTCTAATACCATATCTTGTGGAACATGCCTACATAAAATTAGGAGTAATACATTGGAAGTTTTCCAGCTGCAGGCCCTTCAAACCAGAAGTATGTATGAAGGGAAAAGTACCCTGGGAAAAGAAAGCTGGACCTACAAGAAACCATACATCTTACTCTTCTGCCTTCAAGGCTTTTGATACCAGTATTCAAAGTGTACCCTGAAGGTGTATCTTAAAAGGCCCAGAAGCAAAGTATTGTTGCGCTTCCCTTTGGTTAGGATGAATTGAGGCCTCTGAGTTTTGTGGGGTTTTTGTTTTGTGGGGTTTGTTTTGGGTTTTATGTATTGAGGAGTTGGAGAAAGCTGGGATTTTTCCCCTTCCTCTGTTAAGCAGGCAGAGCATCTTTAAGTATTAAGCATCTCTATTAGTAGTATTAAGCATGCTCTATAGTCAAGGTAGGTTTTATATTTGGTGCCATAAAATGAGACTATGCATCCTCATCAGTATTCTCTGGTACAAGCTCCTGGTGTTAAGCCACGTTAGGAAAAATCACTTCCTTGAAGCAGCATGAGAGTTCTGTGGCTGCAGAATTAGTTTAGTTGTGTAAGTGCAGTTCTCTGTTGCTATGCCTCCCATAATACAGTGTAAAGTTTTTTCCTGATCTTAACAAGAAATGCATTGCTCTGCAATGGAAATCTGAGTTGCAAGTGGAAACAGCCATGGGGAAACAAAAAGGGCTGTTGGTTTCAGTGTCAGTCCCTTTGAGCCAGAACTCTTTATTATCGTCCTATGATTGCCAACAAGATTTACTTTGATCAGGTTACCAGTGTGTTTCTTGGGGGGTTAGCTCTTGCAGTGCATACAAAAAGAAATGCAAATGCTCATCGGTCTCGAGCATTTCCCCTTACCTCGGTCTGTCTTGTGATTGTGTGCTTTCTTGGATATGAATGAATGGTGCATATAAACAAATGCTGTCACCCTAGGGGCCAGCCATTGGACAGCACATGGGCCTCTGCTTCTTCAAAGGTTCATTTTATCCCTATCAATTATAGTGAAAACAGCGTCATTTCGGAACCTTACTGAAAAGGGGAGATAACTTCCACTTCTGCATTTGAGCTCAAGCTGTTCAGGTACCACTGTCCTGGGTTCAGGACAACTTTGTATGTATCAACCAGCTGTTGATACAAACATTCTAAAAATGTTGATGGCAGTGGGGAAAGTTGCTGCTGGTATTTCTTTATGCTTTCAACTTTATGGTGGATTTTGCTAGCTATAAAATATATAAATGCCTCCATGTGCTATGGAAGTTTCCTGTATTAATAGCTTCTTTCCTCAAGTTTTTGTTAAAATGCCAACATGGTGGATAAACACAATTTGCTTGGTTTGGTGTTTTGGCTGGGTTTCTGTTTTGTTTTTTTTTTTTGTTGCTGTTTTTGGTTGTGTTTGTTTTGGGGTTTAGTGGGTTGTTTTTGTTTGTTTGTTTGGCTTGTTTTGTTTTTTCCACATTCTTATCTAAAACTGGCTTGAACTCTGATGCATCTTTAAGAGTGAATTGGGCCAGGCTTTTATTGAGATGCAAGAGCAATATAGGTATCTGTTGCTGCTTTTTTTTCTCCTGTCTTAATCATATCATTCTGTATTTCAGGTTTGATAATTACTATGTTCTTTGTATTAATTGCTCAGTACTTTCATTGTAATTCTTCTCTGCTATATTTCTATTCTGCTACTAATACCATAGCACACACAATCCCATCAAACTCATTTTTGATACTGGACAAACAAAATAGTTTGGGTGTGCTTTGGAACTGTTAAATCTTGGCTCATCATATGCCTTCACAAAGGTAATCCAAGAAATTCTGCAGTCCAGAAATGCCTGAAACTTTTTTTCCAAGAAGCTAAAGCCTGTAACTTTTTTTTTTTTCTTGCTTAAATTATTTTGTCTCCTGTAGCTGGAGCTGGTTTCCCTCTCCTACCCATTTGCTTTCAACACCTAATTTGCTTTGGTGGTAATGATTTTTTGTGAAAGAACTCAACTTCTCTCCCCCACGGCTAGCGAGTTAACTTTTGCCTGGGTTAATGAATTATCCCACTCAGCAAGAGCCTGATGAATGTCAGATCTGGCAGGTGGACAGAGGCAAAAACAGAGCCAGGGAAAGGATCTGAGAGAATAAGAAAACCGATTTTAGCCTCTCGCGGCTGTCTCATGTAATTTCCTGTCATGTTACAGCATCTCCTTTACTTCACTAGGAAAGGTTAAAGAGGTGGTTAGTTTCTGAGCTTCCCTTCTTGCTTTCCAAATAGAATGTAAGAGATAATTAAAGAGAAATATTATTTATTCTGATATTTTTAACTTGAATGTATTATCTTAAAGTTTTGATTAAAAGTATAGGTACAACAAAGTACATAGTTTCATTACTGTATTTTTAGTTCTCGTAACGGTTTTTCTATTCTTGAAGCCAGGGAAATGTAATCTTCTGTGTGCCTACTTGTTATCTCACAGTAACATCCTTCCTGAATAACATTTATCATAGCTGAGCATCTGTGTTGACCTTTTCTGCAGCATTTTTTTTTTTTAATTCATTTAGATAGCACTCTTGTATGTCAGGTGTGGCTAGGAATAACCCATGATTCATTGACTCACTTTTAAGCTTATTATCAGCAAAATTTCTAGTAAAGATGCTGGATAAACCACATGAATCCTGGTATCACTCCTTGCCTGTGTGCCCTACAGAACAAGTAAGCTCCCAGTTAACCCACTGGAAAGGTGTTTACTGAGCATCTCTGTTTCCTACAGTGTAGAGAACCATGGGGGATACCCCAGGAAGGCCTAATGTGACACTTCCAGAGAGAGCACTGCAGAACCTACATGAATTTGTGTGGAATACCAGCTCTAATGTGATGGAAAATAATGGATAATTTTTTTGCTGTTGAACTCCATGAAAACACTCGCTGTTCTGTTGGTATATGAATTGTATGCTGTCAGTAAGTAGCTGCATCTTTTGATCACTGTATATTTTCACTCCGTGATGTTTCAGTTGCTATTTCTGGAGTATATGGTGTAAGTTACTCAGTAAAGTAATTATTGAAGCCTGTAAAAAGGAGAAATGGTAAATACATACATTTTTCATCATGCAGTTTTGAAATACACATAAATGGGCCTGTTCTCTTGCTGTAATCTAGTATGTTATTCTGCAGTGGACTTCTGTTAGCTGAGGGAGGCATACAACTTTTCATCCATTAAAGTTATTAAAATTGGGCTGACACCAAGGTCATAGGAATAAATTTAAAGGGGGAAAATAGAAGTATGTTGCAAGGAAAAACCAGAAAGTTCTTTAAAAATAGAATTTGAGGTAATTGCAGAGTTAATATATGAAGAATTTGTTCCTACAGTTTTCCTGTGGCTTTAACTGAAGAACCTATTCTCTTCTTTTTGGGGGTGGGATGGTGTGTAGAGGTCAAAGTAAAAGCCCTGTGGCAGAATTGTCATTCCCGAAATGTAAAAACTGCTATAAACTTAATTTCATATTTTATACCAACCCAAATGAATGTTCAATAAATTCTGAAATTAAATTAGTTCTTACTAAAGTGCTTATAAAATTCAGAAGTTGCAGTTCTAAGTAACAAGGTTGTATAAATGTTAAATTGGTCTAGTTTATTTTATTGGCATTGGGACTGTCCTGTTTCTTAAGTACATTGGGTGAACTGTAGCTGTTGATTATAGTGCTAAAACAGAAGAAAAAGAAATGGAATAAACAGTTATGTTATTCTCATTATCTTTTTAGGAGTACTAAATACAGAAATTCAAGAACATGAAGGTAAATTCTGAGAATGGCTGAACTGCATATCAAACATGGTGCTGGGGTCAGAAAGAGTGAAAAGCATTTTTTTGTTTTCAAGAACTTTCCTGACATATAGTTAAACAAGGTGAAGCATGCTCTTGGGTTTGTATTCAGCAACAGTGAATGAGTCAGGGAGAGCCAGAGGGCTTACTTCATTGTTCTGTTGTCATACCGCTATTTGTTTAGCTTCAGAGTCATTCAAAAGTGGAACATATCATTCAAAGGGTGCCCTCTGTGGGAGATGAATGGGCTCAGGAAGCAGGATGAGCAGCAAGGGCACCAAACATGGAAGAAAGACTAGGGTATCTGTTTTTTCCCCCAAGGACATCAGTTGGCCTAAGAAAACATGCTACTTTCAGCAAAGGTATATGAACAAAAAGGCACAGAGATATTCCCTGGAATGCCCATTTGGGAGCAACTGGCCCTTCAAAGCTTATCGCTTGATGAAGCAAGCGATCACCATGCTGACGAAGGTACGTATTATCCAAATTACTTTGGGAATATACTAGTGTTATGAAACACCTGTACTTGATTTCTGTAGTCAGTATCACAGAATCGGCGCAGACTACTAGTGTGCTGGCTGCCGAAGAAGTGTAAAGAATTGTTTCATGTACTAGAAGCAGAGGCATAGCACTGAAATAGCTTCTTAGTTTTGTACTTTCATGATTGTCTTAGTCTTTGTGGTCCAGAAGTTCAAATGATATTGTTTGAATTAAGGGTATTAGGAGATTCTGAAGTATAAAGCAATGTGGAGAATGTCAACTAGGATTTCGTAACCACAGAACTGTGTGAAAGCTCTAGGATCTCGTCGTACCTGTCTCCATGAAACTGAAGAGCTTTTAGTAAATACCTGTTCCCCAGCAATTGCTATGTGCTGTCTTTCACTTTTTATTATTAATCTACACACATTGTACACCTCCGTCAGCCTAGCCTTTAAATATGGCTTTACTGCCTTTGCTCAACACACAGCTTGCTTGTAGGCAGAAAAATGCTTACTACTTGCTTGCTTCTAAATGTGCTAACTGCCGTTAGTTGAACTCAACGACCAAAGAGGTTTGAAATCGGAGGCCCGCCCGCTGTAGCCCAGGAGCACTGGGTCCCCTCAGCGCAGACACTGGGCCCAGCCC